ATGTGTACACATTGGAGCCATGGACTTATATAGTCTATGTACAAAAGAACTTTTACCAACTTGTTTGCCAACATATTCAAAGCAATGGCCTATGTATAATAATTCCCAAGAAGCAGGTAAATCACGATAAATATCAGTCATTATAGAATAATGGTAGGAGCCAAAAACTTAAATTTATTATAGTTATTAATAAACTGATATATTTTTATTCAGATATTTCTGAATGACTTTGTTATATTTATTACAATTTTTAAGAAAATTCCCATTATCGTGATGATTTTATAATAAAAATATTATGTATTATCGGAATTTATTATTATTATTATTTTTTTGCATTGTGTGCTTTTTCAGAAACATATAAATATTTTAAACTATGCTTTAATTAAATGTGTTCCCCTGAACACGTTAGTTAAATCTGCTTTTATTAAATTTTTATTAGAAAATATTAACATATACTAAAGGATTTTTTCCTTTTCTTTAAATAATTTAACTTTAATCGTCAATTTTAAATTTAATAAATTTTTTTGTAAATAAATAATTGGCTTTTATGCCAGGCACCTATCTTTCATCTTATATTTATCCTAAACTGAAAAATGCAATCAGTTCTTCAATTTATTTCCAAATTGATTTCATCTTTTACACATTAAACAATCTTCATCCATGAGACGTTTAAATTTGCATTCTACCAATATTTTTTTATTGTCTAAATATTGATTTTTACAAAGTGTTTGGTGTTTTTTACAAAGTACTACTGATCTTTTACATATTGGACAATGATAGATTTTTTTCCCTATAATTTGATTAACATTTTTTGCTTTAATTTTTAATATAGAGATTTTTTTTCTCTTTTTTTTTTGAAATATTTGTAACTAGTTTACATATAAATTAAAAACTAAAAAAAATCTAAAGTAGATAACTTGTTTAATTGTATTATTAGAAAAAAGTCAAATAACTCTCGTGCCAATTATTAAAGTGATTTTGATAATTCTGAAGTTTAAATATTAAACTTCCCATAAATTTAAATTTTCGAACATGTTATAAATTCTAATATTAACATTATACTGTATATCTGATATTCATAATTTTATCCTATTTACGCCTACTATTATACAGCTAATATAAAGGAAGAAAGAAAATTTCTAAATTGTATTGTTGAAATTTTAATACCTGCTAACAAAATGGTGAATGAAATTATTATTATCTTTTCAATAACACTAAGTCTAATTCATTCAATTAATCTATTCAATTAGCAATTCCGAATTGAATTACAAGTATGTGATAAGTATATATAAGATAGAATCTTACAATAAATTTTACAACTTAATTAAATATTAAATTTTCTATAAATTTAAATTTTCGAACGGGTTATAAATTCTAATATTAACATTACATATTCATAATTTTATCCTATTTACGCTATAAAGGGAGAAATAAAAATTTTAATACCTCGCTAACATAATGGTGAATGAAATTATCTTTTCAATAACACTAAGTCTAATTCATTAAATTTGAATCTATTCAATTAGCAAATTTTGAATTGAATTACAAGTATATTATACAGTATATATAGATAGAATTTTAAAATAAATTTTACAACTTATTTTAATTGTATAATTATAAAATATTAAATAACTCTCATGCTAGTGATCAAAGTGGTAATTCTATAGAACTAGATGTTAATTTAGAAGCTTTGCAAGAATCTGCAGTTAGTGTATTTCACGAATAGTGTACCTCTATACAAAAACTTTCTGAAGGTGGCTTTCACAAGGTATATATCTTAAAGATGAAAAATGATAAAGAATATATTGGAAAAGTAGCATTTCCTGTATATCTACGCTGGAAGACAGAAAGTGAAGTAGCAGTTATAGAATATATTCGTTTAAATACGACTATTCCTATTCCTAAAGTTTATTATTGGAATAGTTCTGTCAACAATCCAGTAAGAGCAGAATATATTTTCATAGAACGTTTGTCTGGTAGTCGCCTTTGTGATATATAGTCTGGTCTCAGCATAAATAAAAAAGAGATATTTCTTTTAAAGATTATTGAAATTCTATTGGCACTTAAAAAGCTTACTTTTTCAAAAGTTGGTAGCATTTTTTTTGATAAAAATAATCAATTTAAAATTGGTCAGGTGATCGAAATTGATTTATTTTCTGATGAACAGGCAACTTTATCAACCATGAAAAAAGGGCCTTTCAACACAACAAAAGAATATATTTTAGCTGTTATTTGAAATAAAATTCGGTATTATGAAACCTTTAAATCTATAGATCAGCAAGAGTATTAGATTTCAAGATATCAAGAACTATGCAAATTGGTGCCCAAATACTTTCAGGATGATGAAAACAAGTTTGTATTAACACATAGAGACTTTCATTCATCAAATATATTAGTCAATAATGATGAAATTATGGGATCATTGATTGGAAATATTCTGGTGCGTTTCCAATGGAATGCTTATGTACCTACCCAGTGTGGATTACAGACAATCCTATGGTGGAACAAACAAATGAAGAGTTCAAGGAAAATCTGACATTACAAAAATTTTTCCGGGATAATATAATTCATCGTGATCCTGATTTTAAGCATATAATTGACAATATAAATGAAAAAAAAGTGAATTTTATTCTGCAGTGTTTAGTCAAGAAGAATAAAAAATAAATGATTCTTTAGATGAATTAGGAATAAATAATATGTTTACTTTCTAAAAATATAGGTTAAACATTTTTTTACAAATTACATTCATTAAATTGTATTATCCTATCGATATCGATATACTTTACTCCTTCTATTTTACTATGCATCAGAATATATCAAAAGCATGAGTGTCTAAATTATTTTTTTTAAAAAAAAATGAATAGCTGACTTTAAATATTGTAGAAAGGTAATTTTTAATTTAATAATATGGACTAAAGGTTAAAATTGGTCTTTAGTAAAAGTGTAACAAAAAACTATTTGAAATACATAATAAAGAGTAAAGTTTGCTGTATAGTGAATTCTTGATAGAACCAAAATAACTAAGTCTCATGATTTTCAGTTCTTACACAAATACACAATATTCTAAATTTAACACAACATTATTTTTATAAAGATCTTTTGCTAATTTTTTGTATTCGTTATAACTAAGTTTATTTTCACAAATTACTAAATCAATTAAAGTAGTGTTTTTATAGAGCACTTCTATTAATATTTTTACTCCTTCATAATCAAATTGATTTCCACTAAGATCTAAAACTTCTAGAGTATTATTTTTACAAAGAGCCTCTGCTAATACTAGACCTTCATTAAAAGTAAGTTGATTGTCAGAAAGAAATAATCTAGTTAAAGTAGTGTTTTTGCAAAGTGCATCGGATAATATTTTTACTCCTTCAAAAGTAAGTCTATTAGAACTAAGATTTAAAAAAGTTAAATTTGTGTTTTTGTAAAGAGCCTCTGATAATACTTTTACTCTATCAAAAGTAATTTTATTATTACTAAGACTTAATGAAGTTAAATTAATGTTTTTGTAAAGAACTAATGCTAACATTCTTATTTTTACAGAGCAAAGTCCAGTGTCATAAAGAATTAAAGATGTTAGTGTAGTATTTTTACAAGAACTTCTGTTAATATTTTGCTACCCGAAATTCCAAGTTGACTACAACTAAGGTCCAGAGAAGTTAAACTAGTATTTATGCAAAGTGTATATGTTATCGCTTTCATTCCTTTAAAACTAATATTATTACCACCAATATCCAAGGTGGTTAGACTAGTGTTACTGCAAATAGCATCTGCTAATGCTTTACATCCTTCAAAGCCAAGTCTATTATTACCAAGATTCAAAGAAATTAATGATGTATTTTTATAAAGAGCCTCTGCAAATGCTTTTCCTCCTTCAAAACCAATTTTATTAATACTAAGATTTAAGGAGGTCATAGTAGTATTTTTGTAAAGGGCTTCCGCAAATACTTTCGCTTCTTCAGAACCAAGGTTATTATTGGTAAGATCTAGGGATGACAGTGTTGTGTTTGCATGAAGTGCTTCTGCTAATAGATTTATTCCTGCTTTCTTAAGATCATGCCTACAACTATCAAGTTTTAATGAAGTTAGATGTGTATTCTTACAAAGAATATCTGCTAGTGTCTTTAATTCTTCAAAACCAAGTTCGACATAAGAAAGTTCCATTAAAGTAATAGTGTTTTATAATGAATTTCTAATAAAAAATTTACTATTTTACTATTAATTTCTTTTGTGGGATAACAATTACTAGTGAAACACTCAATTTTTTCACCTGTTTGTAATAACATTGCAATTAATGAATATTCAACTATTTGAACCATATTCCCGAATTCGTGAGATTCAAGTTTGTTTATTATTTCATCAAAGTTACGAGGTTCATATTCCTTACTGCAAAGCCAGTTTAGAATTCCTATTGCCAAAATTTTGCATTTGATCAATGTAGTGTATGATGTATATTCAAATAATAGATTTGGGCCATTTGGAAGTAATATATTTAATGGAATTAAAGACTCCTTTTCTTCAGCATTTAATGATAAAAGGTATATTCTTATAAGTTTTCTATCTGTATAACAAGTTAATGGATCACTCCATAATATTGGAACAACATTTCTACACTATTAGCAGTTTACAAGAAGACATAAAAATAAGAATTGATAATTATTTCTAAGGTTATTAAATATTTCAACAAGGCATTCATTTGGTAATGCTATCATTTAGAAAGCTAAAAAATATATAATGAAATAAATGGAGCATGTGTGATTGCTTATAAATAAGCGTAGATTACACTGCAAGATTGTATTATATTATTAGAGATGGCAGAAATCATGATTTAAATTTATTTTTATGATTTAGAAATATTATTCTACCATGTTCCGAAAAGTTTATACATTCAAAAATTCAGCAATTGAAATCTGTTTTAAAATTGATTAATTTTAAATCACATCCCATCTCTAGGTCTATAATAATACCAATCGAATTGCAATATAATACAAATAACCTCAGCAAAAATTGTACGTTCGATCTGAAAAATTCAAGACAAAGTTCGTATTATCAAATAAGAATAAAAAATATAAAAGGTGTGTCGATATCTTCACTTTTTTAATTTTACCTTGTTTATATAAAAAAATGGAAAAAGAAAAAAGTAAACTTGAATATCTAATTGAATTAAAAAATCAATATGAGATATATTTAAAAAATATTTATGAGAGAAAAACATTAGTTTTGATGCGAATGTACCAAATGGTTATTATCACTTTCAGATTTATTTTATTATGGATTGTAAAAAATAAAATGGTTAAAGTATACATAGTTATTGCTGTTTTAAGTATAACATACATAGGAAGAATATTTACTCTCTCGAAAATCTCTTTTAACAAACAACTGAAACAAATAAGGATAAGCGAACTTGAAAATGCATCTTTAAATAGATTGAAAGAATACTTTAATATTTATACCCAGTTCAACTATCAAGAAACAAAAAAGAATAAGTTTTATTCATGTTTTAATATGATATTACATTGTTGTTTTATAGCAATTTCGTCATTTATTTTAATATATCTTTTTGAAATAGAAGATAGTAATATTAATTATTTATGTCTTGTTATTTATTCTTTTATTGAAAATGTAATTATTAATCTCTATATGAAAATAGAAACTATTTTTATAGACAAAGATATTAAACAAATTTTGGATGGAATAATTTTTATAGACAAAGATATTAAACAAATTTAGGATGTAAATTTTCTTGATAATAGTAACCAATGTTCTTGAAAATATTTTAAGACTAATTTTAAATATTATATAAATAAAATTTACGTTACCAAAAAAAAAATTATTTTTTATTATAAATTAATCGTTTCTCTGCCAAATAGAGATAAAATGAAAGCATATGCGTGCTCAATATATTAATATTTAAAATCAAACATACAATATTTTTAATTTCTCATTTAGAATATTGAAAATTGTATTAATTTTTTATTAGAAATTATTATGTTTTTTTTATAATTACTTCTTTTTAATTCATTTAGATTTTCATTATTAATTGTAAGTCATAACTAATATTCAAAAAATAATAAACAATACTCTGTAATATATAAAATTCTTGTATTTCTTATGCAATTCACCACTAAAATGTCCAGATTTTTCGATCCATTAATTTTAATTTTCAGATCATGGCTAAATTTATTATTAATATTCATTCTATTAGAAATTTTTGCTCATGTTTTTAATTGGCCTTCTGGATGCGTTTTCTTTTTTAATTGTTTAGCAATTATTCCCTTAGCAAAATTGTTAAGTGATGCCACTGAAGCCATTTCTTCGAAAACCGGACAAGCAATTGCTGGATTATTAAATGCTACTTTTGGCAATGCAACAGAATTAATAATTTCTATTTTGGCTCTACATGCTGAAGAAATTAAAATAGTTCAGTCTTCGATGTTAGGATCAATTATTTCAAACATTTTATTGGTTTTAGGAACATGTTTTCTTGCTGGAGGTATTAAGCATAAGATACAAAAATTTAATCAAACTGTAGCTCAAACTAGTTCGAGTTTGATGACCTTAGCTTGTATAAGCTTAATAATTCCTAACATTGCTTTTAGCAATGACATTAAAAAAATTTTAATATTATCTCACAGAACTGCAATAATATTGTTAATAATTTATGTGCTTCAATTATTATTTTAATTAAAAACCCATTCACATTTCTATAAAGATGAGGAGCAAGATGAAGAGCAATCGATAAATATTGAGGAACAAGATATTGATAATGAGATGCAAAATAAAGGGCAATCGATATATATTGAGAAACAATATGAAGAGCCACAATTACCTTTTCTACTTTCTATAATTTTGTTAATTATTACAACTGTATTTATTTCTTTAGCTTCAGAATTTTTAGTTAATTCATTTGAAGGAGTAGTAAAAACTCTTGGTTTTACAGAAACTTTTATTGGATTAATCATTTTGCCGATTGTTGGAAATGCTGCTGAGGTAATTATCTTGTTAGTGTTTAATCGCTTTATTATTTGCTAAAAAAATTTTTTAGATACCTTGGCAGTTATTGCAGCTATGGATAATAAAATGAATATGGCAATTAACATAGCCATTGGCTCTTCTATGGTATACTAAATGATCAAACTTCCGTAATTAACTTCTTTCTCAAAAATAATAATTTTTTATTGCCAGCAAGTTTCATTATTTATTACTCCATTTTTGGTTATATTGGGTTGGATTATTAATCAACAAATGAGTTTACTCTTTAATTTCTTTGAAACTATTATATTGTTTATATCAGTTCTAATAACCAATTATATTATTCAGGTAAACATCATTTTATTATGTATATATATTTTCAGAGTTTATTTGACAAAATGTCTTTTTAGGATGGAGAATCAAACTGGTTAGAGGGAGCGATGTTGTTGGCGACTTATATGATACTTTGTTTGGCCTGTTATCTTTATTCATAATTGCGATTTAGTATTTTCAGATTGAGATTTCGATTTCAGAAATTTGAAACACAAAATATATCAAAATTCAATTCATTTTTCTTGTAATATTAGATTTTTTTAATCGTCATGAGCACTAATATTTTGAAATTAAGAGTTTATTATAATGCTTTAGTAATATAATACGAATAATTTTTCCTAAAAATAAATGTTTCAATTAAAATTAGTGTATTTCAAAAATAAGTAAAGTTTAAAAAAATCGTATATACATAATTGTATAATCCAAACGCGTCGCTAATTTTCAATTGAGTAACAATTCATAATAATAATTATACATTGATATTAAGTTTGGTTTTCATTGGCGTTTCTTAATAACAGTAAATTCAATTGATAAAACAGAAATTAAATCTTCAATTAAATTCTGTCTAATAAAGTAACAACGTTTCCAATAATAAAATTTTGATAATTGGACATGATTTTATTAAAGAATCTCAATTACTTATCAAACCTTCCTTTATGAATATAGACAAAATATATGTAGTTTGTATCGGACCCTACACGAACTCATCTCAAGTAATTTTTAAATTACACTACTAGTAAAATTTAAGAATTAGTATTTATTTAATTTTTTTTGATTATAGGCCGCTAAAGAATTTTTTAAAAATAATAATAACGTTGGATTTATTTATAAAGAAAATGTTAAAAGTGTTATTGATAGTCTGAAAAAAGGGATTTCCAAATTTGCTGTTGTTGCTTCTAAGATTAACTGTAACGGAATAAATAAACTCATTAATGCCAAATATATTAAATCGCAAAACGTTGAAATTTTTGAAACAATTACTTTAAATATTAGTCATAATCTACTCTCAAATTTTAAGTTACAGGATGTTGAAACAATTTATAGTCATTCAGAGGTAATACAGTATGGTTAATAAATAATTATCAAATAAAGATATAACAATTCTTAATTTAGGCATTTGAAGAATGCAAAAATTGGTTAGATATAAATCTAAAGAATGCGAATAGAATTTCAGTTTGCTCAACAGGTGAAGGTGCAAAACAAGCCGCTAAAACTTTACGAGCTGCATCGATTTCGAGCAAAGAATGTACAGTTTATGGATTAATAATTCTAAATGAAGATATACAAGATGATAAAGACAATTCCACAGAATTTTCGATTTTGAGAAGTTCAAAAAATACAATAGAAATTTAGATATTTTACTTTTCTTCTATTTTAATTTTTGATTATTTTCAGTTTGTTATAATAGTTACAGTACGCGTCAAAAGTATTCCCCTTTGTATAATTTTAAGTCAATTTTTTGTTTTGATTACATGAAATTCTATAGCTCGGTCATCGCAATTTTATTTGCTGCTGACATGTTTTAGTTCAATAAATTATAAATTTAAAAGCCCAAAGTCTGGTTTTCTCTGGAATTCTATCGGATAATTTCAGAAAATTAAGGTCAGATAAACTGCAAAAATAATAGTAACTTCGCATTAATATTTTATTTTTTTATTTTTATTTTTATTTCTTTCTCCTTCTAAATTTTCTTTTGTAGGTTTAAATTCAAGTAAAAATAATGTACTCCGTGATTAGTGATCGGGTTATTATTACAGTATTACTAATACATCTAATTAACGGGATCTATTATCCTATGCTAAACTAGCTTGAATCAACATATGAAAAATAAAAATTTTAATTTATTAATTCAATGATATCGATATATTAATTTAATTTTAAATAACTAGTAATCATTTCATTTAATTTTAACATTACTATTCAATTCATTTAGCTAATTATATTATACAATTAGAAGATTTAGTTGTCAAAATGTTAAAACCTTCTAGAAAATTTTTGCAAATTATATATATCCAAAGATTTTGAGAAAAAAATTTTTTAAATCTGCACATGATGGCCAAACAGGTAAATATATAATCTCTGTTATTATAATATTATGCGCTCGTAGAAACATATATACTAATGAAAATTATTTTGAAGAATCAATTTCAAAATGAATTTGAAGCAGAAGTAAGGCGTCTTCGAGATACGAAAATGTACGAGAATACTATCGCTATTTATTCAGAAATTTCCAGAAATAGCCCCAAATTTCGTGATGAGGCAAATTATAACATGGCATATCAACTTAAAATTAATAGGGAGTACAAGAAGGCATATGACATTTTTTCAGATATTGCTAAGAAAAATACCAACTACAAAAATATAAAAAGATTATGGCAAGTTGCAGCAAGCATTTTGATGAAGAACATGCATATTCTCTCAATAAAAAATTAGCTAATAATTATGAATAACCAAGGAAAGAAGTAAAAAAAAAAAAAAAAAAAAAATGGAGTTTTTTGATTATATGTAATAGTAATAAGGGTCCTAGAACAAATAAACTATAACATGATTTTTAATATTTCGGGTGACTTTAACCTGGGTGAAATAGAAATTCCCTATTTTTAATTAATTTTTAAACTAACGCTAATGCTAATACATCTAAATTAATGAATAACGATAATCTTGATAAATCCTTTGAATTTTTTAAAAAAATTTCAAAATGAAGGCAATGACGAAATTAAAGGTCAGTTCAATATAAATTAGGAATGTACTATCTTTGGGTTTTGGTTGTGATCAAAATATTACTATGGCTCAAAAATTACTTCAAGATTCTTCAGGTCTTGGTTTTAGACCCGCAACTATTTGGATTAATTCTCATCAGAAAGAAATTGATTTTGGTGCAAGCGAAGCTATTAAAAAAAACATGATATAACCAAGACTACCAAGAGTACATAATAAAATTATTAATAAAATTTTATGAAAGTATTTTTTTTTCTATAATATTTTGTAAAAAATGTCTTGTCATAATTTCTCTAACGATAAGGGCTTCACCCACTTTACGCTCAAGCATTTCAAAAAGTCACCATTTCACATGATTTGCATTTACAAAAAAATTTTTAGTTTATAGATTTGTATTTTTCAAGGAAAGTGTATTATTATTAATGTCACATGCTAAGTTCTATAAATATTTAATAATACAGTAATATACCAATACGTATAAAATAAAAATATTATAATTTCAGAGTTGTAAAATTTCGAGTCCTTACTTTTTCAAAGTTAAAGTAATTCTTTAAAATGCCTAAAGATCAAACTTCAGAACATAAAAGCTGTAAAGATTCTCATTGTTGTCTTTATAACATAGTTTGTTCTCTTGAATTAGAAATTCAGCAACGTGATAACTTTCTTGCTGATTTTCAAAGATTTCTTTCAAATCGTCTTGGTGACTCCTTTCTTACTTTTTATCATGAGTTTATTGATTCTTACTCTTGGGATTCTATAGGAATTAATCTTTCTGAACATTCTTATGAAAGTGTTACTGTTGAAAAGTCTTCTTCTCTAAATTATTGGTCTAGAGTGAATAATATTCTTAATCCGGCTATGGTACATTCTTGTGAGGATAAAGAGGTTTCTGATATCGAGTCTCTTCATGATGTTTCTGAGTTGGAACAGTTGGAACAAAAATATATAAATTATTCTCCTTATTCTTCTAATAATTGCTCTGATGATGAATCTGTTCTTGATGATTACTATGGTAATAATAAACATTATGATAGTGATTAACTTTTGCATTCCTATTATTGTTATCCTTTTCCTTTTAATATTATCTGTTAAGTTTCCTTTTTGAAGCTTTATTATCATGCCGTGCCAGAGTAGTTAGATCTAATTAATATTTAGTAATAGAAAATTAATGAATGGGAAGGAACATTTTAAGATGAAAACATATTTTAAAATATGTTACTTGGCGAAGTTATTAAAGTAACATGGTATAACCAACTACCCCAAAAAATTCTGCGTAAAATTTATTGATGTATCATATATATTATAATATGGATCTGATTACTAAAATTGTAATAAATGTCGAAAAAATTTATCTTTAGAAAACTTTATTAAAATTCTTCTTTTAAAAATACTTTAATTTCTTTGTTGCTTTCAAAGTTAGAAATTTCAAGCATGACTATAAGGACGAATAACTGGTTAATGCCAAAATTTAAACAAAGAGCCTAACATACAACCGATCCAAAATCTAAATTTTTATCATTTATTTATTATAATTCAAAATTCTGACAAAATATTTTCGGTTTTGCGAACCTCTCAATATATCAATTGAATTTTTTTTTTTTTAAAAAAAAAAAAAATTATATTTAATGTTGTAATAGAACTTTTATTGAAGTTGGGAAAGAACAACATTACAAGATGAGAAAAGATAAAAAACCAAACTACTATTCTAAAATTTCTTAAAACGAAAACTTTAAAAGAGTTGTTTTTTAATTAGATGTAATTATGTAGCAAGTACAAGTATCCGCTATTTTATCGTTATAGCTCATATGGATTGTTTTCGATGATATTATTACCAACATTAATAAGTTGAGTCAAGTCATTTGCTATTTTAAGATAAGGCTCGTTTTGATTATTGAAATTTGCTAATATCGTTTCAATCTTTTGCTCTATTTCAGATACAGCATCATTTAAGCTTTCATCATAACCTGCACTTGTAAAGGTATCCCAGTTGTTATCTTTAAAATTATTGTAAAGTGATAATATCTTAGCTTTAATCATTTCGTCTAAATCATATATTCTAGTAGGGTTATCAATAAACAATCTATATTTATCTCTGTTGCTTAAAAGTTCATTCAAGTAACTCTTAACTTCTTCAATTTCTTGAGAATACATTTCACCAAGATTTTCTACATAATTATTCAGATAGTTGCTATAATGTTCAAGAAAATCTTGTGCCCTTTGATTAATTATTGTCGTATGTCTAGTTATCAGCTCAGGCTTCATTAATTGTTCACTTGTAGTAAATTCATTTTCGAAATTATTTATCAAATTCATAATCACGGAAAGTTGATCTTGATTGTAATTATTTGGGTTCAATGAGGATATTTGTTTCAAATAATTATAACCTATTGAAATTTCGTTTTTAATGATTTCATGAAATTTCGAGTACCATTTCTTTTCCACGTTTTCATTATTTTGTGTATTCAAAAAATCTCTTGTATTTTGGAATAAACCATTGTCAATGTTGTTCATCCAATCCTCTTTTAAAAAGTTGAATACTGCTTTACTAAGTTTTACTGTTTTTCTACTCATACCTTCAACAGCACTCTTTGTTGGCGAAGAAATAGATCTAAGAGTTTGTAATGATATTGAAATTGAATTTATGTAATTTTTATTTCGTTCATAAATCATTGGATCTGCTGAAATGAGATTTATGAATTCTGAAAATGCCTCCAGTTTCTTTAGAAATTGATTTTTGTCATGTTTTAGTGTTAATTTTCTGGTATTTTTTGGTTGACTTAAATTGTTGCTTATGTCATTGTTGCTTTCATTGTTTACATCGTGCATATATTCATCGTTCTCTTCAACATCTCTTTCGTGCTCTTCAACATCTCTTTCGTGCTCTTCAACATCTCTTTCATCGTCAAAATCATCATCTCCTTCAAGATCATTTAAATTAAGTTGTTGAAACCTTGTATTAAGGAAATCGAAAACTCTTGGCGTATGTTTTGGTTCACTAAATTCGAATTGAGAATCTTCATAATTAGTCGTATATAGAGTTGGTTTTTGCAAAATATATTCTAAATCTTCATGATTAATATTTAATTTGCTCGCATATCGTATTAACGAATTTATAATCCTGCCTCCACATAAATCTTTTTTTTTTTTAATGCTAATCTCAACTCCTCATTATCTTTTACTACATAAAATGCTTTTTTGAAATTTAGTTCATTCAAATCATTCCAGCCCCTAGGTCCGCCCAAAGGATTACCCATTGAAAAAACGATACCAAAGTTAATACAATAAAGGGCTAATAGTACGGATACTCTAATATATTGCTGAAATCTTTTTACTACATTCAGTTTAGCCAATTGTTCAGCATAAGTACCTTGTAGAGATAAAGATTTAAACACTAATAAATTAGTTGTTTCACTGACTATGTTATACATAGATATCGCATTTTTTACACGTGAACTAATTTCGCTGAAAATTTCACTAGGTTTTTCTTCAGGTTTTTCAATTTGCTCATCAATGGATTCATCTGTAAGGTTATTAATAAGCTCTTTAATGGTACTTGTATTAGAAAAAAAATTGCTTTCTTTTTTTTTCTTTGACTGTGTATTGGGATTTTGATCGCAGCATTTAAGGAGTAATGACGCAAAAATCAGTTGTTTTGGAATATCAAGATATTCTTTATTAAACAACTCATTAGTAAAACTCTTTTCCATTAAATGCAACACCCTGGTTAATTTTTTGTCAAGGGTGGTTCCTGATTCTTTATTTACAACATCTTGAATTGCATCCTCTTCATTATAAGGCTCTGGTAAACTATCCCAACGAGACAATACTGAATTAATGTAAATATTACTTGCATCAATTGCAGAGATAATAATTTTGACTGATTTTGGCTGTTTATTTACTAAAAGTCCATATTCTGTTCTTTGTTGTTTTGTTTTTTTTTTAGTGATTTTTTTATCATTTTTTCTAAAATCAAATTTTACTTTGACAAATTTGTCACCAATGATAAATTTGTACGTGCGTGTGTTTGGTTTTAGATATCCGCTCTTAACATATGCTTCATGAACTATTCTTAAGGGCTCTAATAAATATGCTAAATTTATATCATTACATGATTCGAAAGTTTCTAAGACGCGATTAATTTTATTTTCTAGATTTTTGAAACCTCTTTTATTATTCTTAAAAAATTCGTCTTTAGAATTGTCTTCCGGATTTATGTAAAAAGTCTGTGGGGGATCACTAATAAATAATTCGTCTGAAATATTTTCAAAATTACGTGTATTTTTAGTAACATTTTTTTTTTTTTTTTGGGTTTTCTTTTTTGGTTCTCTGCAGCAATTTTCGTTAATAATGCAGTTATTTGTGTTATTTGTTGATTATAATTATTTTGTTCATTTGACGAACTTGATGAAGTTTCTTCATCATCAGTAAGGTCGATATTTTCATCTTCTTGATCTTCTTCCTTTACCGTTGCCATGATTATTTGGATTCTTTCAACTTTTCGGCTGATATAAATAAAAAAAAAAGAATAAATAATTAGAAAAAATATAATTTCAATCAAATTTTATTTTATTTAAAGTAATAATACATAATTAAATTTTTTAATTCTTTAATTAAAAATGATTTTAAATTTGTTTTTTTTATTGTTCTATAATTATACAGATAACCTATTTTAAGATAAATTTACATCGATATTGTAATTACCCTTAATTAATACAATTGAAAAAATTAATTAGATTTAAACGTTTTATTTTTATGAATAATTGACAGTTCATTTTATCGTTATGATTAGAGGTGCGAACTATAAGCCAAGTTATAATAAATAAACTGTAGTTTATTTTAAAACTATAGTTAACTACAGTTTTAGAGTAAACTAAAGTTTATTTAAATTAATTGTAAATTATCGTTCACATCTCTAGTATATCATTAATATCAAGCGGTCTTTCCAATTGTATAATAATACGTGCTCAAGACAATTCATTGAAAAGATTCCTATTTTTATGGAATACGAGTTACTAAAAGCATTTATTGGAAAAAAAAATTCATAGATCAAATTATTTTACTGGCAAAACTATTGGGATTTGGGATTTGGGATTGGGATTTGGGCGAATTTTATTATATTTGGGATGGGATTTGGGCTTTGGGTTGGATTTTGAGATTTTTAGTTTTGCCAACATGTATATTTACACCCATACCAAAAGCATGAGTGAAGATTTTTTTTATAATAAGATTTATATTTATATAATTTTAACCAATAATATAAATAAGTATTCTCTTGATATCGATATAGTGAAGATTTTTAAATTTATATATAAACTTTATTATATTAAAAGTTTTTTAATATATAAATCTTTTGATATAGTGAATCTCTTGATATAGTGAAGAAAATGCTCTGTACGAACAACTTCATTATAACAAGAGTGACTTGTAGCTATTTCAAAATTTGGGCCATCATTAGAAAATTTAGTTAGTAAAAATAATTTTCTATTGTACAGCATTATTATCAGCTTGGGTTCGTACTAGAGTAAATGAAATACCGGGATAGAAGTGCGAACTATAAACTATTAGTTATAAATTATAACTAATACTTCAATAAATATATCCGGATATAAAATAAATCCGGATATAAAAACATAGTAAAGTATTAGTTATAATAAATAAACTGAACACAGATAACGATAAAACGATAAATTTTTTGACAAGCATGTCAAGTCAGATGATAACACACTCTGATTGGCTAAGACCTTTTATTAAAGTAACATGGTATAACCAACTACCCCAAAAAATTCTGCGTAAAATTTATTGATGTATCATATATATTATAATATGGATCTGATTACTAAAATTGTAATAAATGTCGAAAAAATTTATCTTTAGAAAACTTTATTAAAATTCTTCTTTTAAAAATACTTTAATTTCTTTGTTGCTTTCAAAGTTAGAAATTTCAAGCATGACTATAAGGACGAATAACTGGTTAATGCCAAAATTTAAACAAAGAGCCTAACATACAACCGATCCAAAATCTAAATTTTTATCATTTATTTATTATAATTCAAAATTCTGACAAAATATTTTCGGTTTTGCGAACCTCTCAATATATCAATTGAATTTTTTTTTTTTTAAAAAAAAAAAAAATTATATTTAATGTTGTAATAGAACTTTTATTGAAGTTGGGAAAGAACAACATTACAAGATGAGAAAAGATAAAAAACCAAACTACTATTCTAAAATTTCTTAAAACGAAAACTTTAAAAGAGTTGTTTTTTAATTAGATGTAATTATGTAGCAAGTACAAGTATCCGCTATTTTATCGTTATAGCTCATATGGATTGTTTTCGATGATATTATTACCAACATTAATAAGTTGAGTCAAGTCATTTGCTATTTTAAGATAAGGCTCGTTTTGATTATTGAAATTTGCTAATATCGTTTCAATCTTTTGCTCTATTTCAGATACAGCATCATTTAAGCTTTCATCATAACCTGCACTTGTAAAGGTATCCCAGTTGTTATCTTTAAAATTATTGTAAAGTGATAATATCTTAGCTTTAATCATTTCGTCTAAATCATATATTCTAGTAGGGTTATCAATAAACAATCTATATTTATCTCTGTTGCTTAAAAGTTCATTCAAGTAACTCTTAACTTCTTCAATTTCTTGAGAATACATTTCACCAAGATTTTCTACATAATTATTCAGATAGTTGCTATAATGTTCAAGAAAATCTTGTGCCCTTTGATTAATTATTGTCGTATGTCTAGTTATCAGCTCAGGCTTCATTAATTGTTCACTTGTAGTAAATTCATTTTCGAAATTATTTATCAAATTCATAATCACGGAAAGTTGATCTTGATTGTAATTATTTGGGTTCAATGAGGATATTTGTTTCAAATAATTATAACCTATTGAAATTTCGTTTTTAATGATTTCATGAAATTTCGAGTACCATTTCTTTTCCACGTTTTCATTATTTTGTGTATTCAAAAAATCTCTTGTATTTTGGAATAAACCATTGTCAATGTTGTTCATCCAATCCTCTTTTAAAAAGTTGAATACTGCTTTACTAAGTTTTACTGTTTTTCTACTCATACCTTCAACAGCACTCTTTGTTGGCGAAGAAATAGATCTAAGAGTTTGTAATGATATTGAAATTGAATTTATGTAATTTTTATTTCGTTCATAAATCATTGGATCTGCTGAAATGAGATTTATGAATTCTGAAAATGCCTCCAGTTTCTTTAGAAATTGATTTTTGTCATGTTTTAGTGTTAATTTTCTGGTATTTTTTGGTTGACTTAAATTGTTGCTTATGTCATTGTTGCTTTCATTGTTTACATCGTGCATATATTCATCGTTCTCTTCAACATCTCTTTCGTGCTCTTCAACATCTCTTTCGTGCTCTTCAACATCTCTTTCATCGTCAAAATCATCATCTCCTTCAAGATCATTTAAATTAAGTTGTTGAAACCTTGTATTAAGGAAATCGAAAACTCTTGGCGTATGTTTTGGTTCACTAAATTCGAATTGAGAATCTTCATAATTAGTCGTATATAGAGTTGGTTTTTGCAAAATATATTCTAAATCTTCATGATTAATATTTAATTTGCTCGCATATCGTATTAACGAATTTATAATCCTGCCTCCACATAAATCTTTTTTTTTTTTAATGCTAATCTCAACTCCTCATTATCTTTTACTACATAAAATGCTTTTTTGAAATTTAGTTCATTCAAATCATTCCAGCCCCTAGGTCCGCCCAAAGGATTACCCATTGAAAAAACGATACCAAAGTTAATACAATAAAGGGCTAATAGTACGGATACTCTAATATATTGCTGAAATCTTTTTACTACATTCAGTTTAGCCAATTGTTCAGCATAAGTACCTTGTAGAGATAAAGATTTAAACACTAATAAATTAGTTGTTTCACTGACTATGTTATACATAGATATCGCATTTTTTACACGTGAACTAATTTCGCTGAAAATTTCACTAGGTTTTTCTTCAGGTTTTTCAATTTGCTCATCAATGGATTCATCTGTAAGGTTATTAATAAGCTCTTTAATGGTACTTGTATTAGAAAAAAAATTGCTTTCTTTTTTTTTCTTTGACTGTGTATTGGGATTTTGATCGCAGCATTTAAGGAGTAATGACGCAAAAATCAGTTGTTTTGGAATATCAAGATATTCTTTATTAAACAACTCATTAGTAAAACTCTTTTCCATTAAATGCAACACCCTGGTTAATTTTTTGTCAAGGGTGGTTCCTGATTCTTTATTTACAACATCTTGAATTGCATCCTCTTCATTATAAGGCTCTGGTAAACTATCCCAACGAGACAATACTGAATTAATGTAAATATTACTTGCATCAATTGCAGAGATAATAATTTTGACTGATTTTGGCTGTTTATTTACTAAAAGTCCATATTCTGTTCTTTGTTGTTTTGTTTTTTTTTTAGTGATTTTTTTATCATTTTTTCTAAAATCAAATTTTACTTTGACAAATTTGTCACCAATGATAAATTTGTACGTGCGTGTGTTTGGTTTTAGATATCCGCTCTTAACATATGCTTCATGAACTATTCTTAAGGGCTCTAATAAATATGCTAAATTTATATCATTACATGATTCGAAAGTTTCTAAGACGCGATTAATTTTATTTTCTAGATTTTTGAAACCTCTTTTATTATTCTTAAAAAATTCGTCTTTAGAATTGTCTTCCGGATTTATGTAAAAAGTCTGTGGGGGATCACTAATAAATAATTCGTCTGAAATATTTTCAAAATTACGTGTATTTTTAGTAACATTTTTTTTTTTTTTTTGGGTTTTCTTTTTTGGTTCTCTGCAGCAATTTTCGTTAATAATGCAGTTATTTGTGTTATTTGTTGATTATAATTATTTTGTTCATTTGACGAACTTGATGAAGTTTCTTCATCATCAGTAAGGTCGATATTTTCATCTTCTTGATCTTCTTCCTTTACCGTTGCCATGATTATTTGGATTCTTTCAACTTTTCGGCTGATATAAATAAAAAAAAAAGAATAAATAATTAGAAAAAATATAATTTCAATCAAATTTTATTTTATTTAAAGTAATAATACATAATTAAATTTTTTAATTCTTTAATTAAAAATGATTTTAAATTTGTTTTTTTTATTGTTCTATAATTATACAGATAACCTATTTTAAGATAAATTTACATCGATATTGTAATTACCCTTAATTAATACAATTGAAAAAATTAATTAGATTTAAACGTTTTATTTTTATGAATAATTGACAGTTCATTTTATCGTTATGATTAGAGGTGCGAACTATAAGCCAAGTTATAATAAATAAACTGTAGTTTATTTTAAAACTATAGTTAACTACAGTTTTAGAGTAAACTAAAGTTTATTTAAATTAATTGTAAATTATCGTTCACATCTCTAGTATATCATTAATATCAAGCGGTCTTTCCAATTGTATAATAAT